TACCTTCTTCTGCTCCACTCAGACCTCTCCAGAGCTCAGAGCAGCCTGGCCACTCCAGGATTCTGCTCAACCTTTTCTTTATGCCATCTCCCTTTCCCTCATCATCAAGTATAAATGGGCTTACATGAATAGGAAAGTGCTCTCTGGTCCCTATTTCTTCCTTTGTTCATAATATCACTCCTCCTTTACACAGCTAATTTTTTTTAAACAGCCAAAATTATAAACTTCATGAGGGCACAAAGTGTGACTATTATTCTTCTAAGTCCAGTGCCAGAATAGTTTTAATAGGTCCTCAGTAACAATTTTCATTGCTTAATACTTATTTTGCAAAAGGGCAGAAAGCCCAATGCAATGGAAAAGAGGACAAAAGACTTTACCAGACACTTTATAAAACAGAGTATCTAGTGCATGGCCAAAAATACACATGGAAAGAGGCTCACTGTCGTTAACCACCAAAAAAAATGAGAATTAACACGATAATATTACCCCTCTAAATAACCACCAATGACCGAAATGAGAATGATGGAAATACACAACCAGGGGGACCAGTTAGATCTCCACGTGCACTGCTGGAATCAATATAAGCTCGCACAACCACTTTCTGTGTGGCAGAAACTACTACAGCTGAATACACACATGTCCCCAATCCAGCAATTCCACCGTAAGCCACACCCAGCAGACATGTACTCTAATATCCATGGAAGCCCTAGTTGTCACAGCCAAAACCAAGAACAATCCAAATTCATCCACAGTGGAATGAATAAGTTACATTCATACAAGAAGTTAGGTACCGTAACGAGAATGAATGATTGTTAGGCACAGTGCACATTGATCTCACTAACACACCATTGAGTGAAATAAGTCAGACCCAAAAGAGAAAAGAGCACATGGTTCCATACATATGAAGTGCAAAACCAGGCAAAGCTAATAGACATGAAAGTTAGGAGGCTGGTTACCCCTGGGTTCTGTTGTGACTGGAAAAGGGCAGGAGAAGGGTTCTGGAATGCTGATAATGTTCTGGTTTTTCATGGATCTGTTTGTTCAGTCTGTGAAAGTTCATCAAACTGTCTACATTCTTTTCTGTATGCATGTGATATCTCTCTCTCACACACACACACATACACACACAAACACACACAACTGGATATATTAATTTGCTGCTGATCCTCTCCTTATTCAAAAAGCTCTTGATGGCCTTCTCTTGTCTTACCCTGCAGGCTCTAAGACTCCTGTGGCCGGGAGCTATCTTTTTCCTCTTGACTTCCCTAGTTCCCGCACAGACACTGATACGTGTCTGCTCTCGCTAAATGATTCTGAATGAATGAGCATGCATCTCAGTGACACCAACTAGCTTATGACTCCGTCTCTTTCATGCCCTTGACTCTAAGCTCTGCATTTTCCAGGTCCTGGTCCTGATATCTGTTTGAAGATACTATCGTGATAATAGCTGCCCTTTATTTGAAAATCAGAGTCAGGAGCTTTATATACATTATCTCTTTCATCCATCAAGAAGAGCCTGTAAGTTATAGTTATTACCCCTACCAACACCAGCACCTTTACAGACCAGGAAACCAACGTTCTCAGAAGTAAAGCCACTTACATAAGAATACACAGGCATGCCGGGCACAGTGGCGCACGCCTGTAATCCCAGCAGCTTGGGAGGCTGAGGCAGGAGGATTGAGGGTTTCAAGCCAGCCTCAGCAAAAGTGAGGTGCTAAGCAACTCAGTGAGACCCTGTCTCTAAATAAAATACAAAATAGGGCTGGGATGTGGCTCAGAGGTCTAGTGCCCCTCTGTTTGATTCCCAGTATAAAAATAAAAATAAAGAAATATACAGGTGAGAAGCTGGAGAGCTAAAATTGAAACTCAGGTCTTATTCCAAAACCAGATATATCTCTATATACATGTGACCATAAATTCAACAAATCCAAAACACAGGTCACTGCTCTTCTCAAAGGCCTGCTCACCTTCCTTATCCTGAGAACTGCCATCTCGACCCAAGCTGCAGTCCTGGGACCCCTCTCCCTCCCTCCATAGGTTACTCAGCACTGTTTTCCAAGCACTGTTCTCAGTATGATAGCATGAGTCCAAGCTTTTATTTTAATTTTCTTTTGAACAGGACTGTAATTGTCTGTATACCCTGTCTCCCAAATCCAGGCTTGCTTTCCTCTAATTCATTCTCACAAATTTGATTGGGAGATCTTTGTAACATGCAAATTTGAACCCAGTTCTCCTTGTTGTTGATATAAGAGATGTCAAATACACCAGCATGGCACACCCTGCTTGACCTGGTCCGCACCAAGAGCTCCAGAGCATCCCCTGGTGACTCCACATCTCTTTCTCCCACCTGTAATCCAACTATGAGAAGATTTACCCGTCACAAAAGCACCTTGCTGTTTCCATGTCTTTGGGCTCTGCATGCCAGGGCTTGAGCTTCCTGCAATGCCCTTCCCATTTCTGTCTCTCAAATTCCCACCCATCCTGCAAGATGCAGCTCAAGCATTTACTCCTCTGTCAAGCCTCTCAAGCAAAGCTGAGTGCTGCTTTCATGACACAGCTAAGCCTAGTGGATTCTTCTCGAATCGCAGATAGCCATTTCACAATATATATTGTGTGTGGATTTTTTTTTTTTTTTTGCAGTGAGCAGTGTTCACTTCTAGACAATTAGATCTTAGAGGCAGACACATGTCTGTTCTTTTTAGTAAGCTCAGGCCTGTACACAGTAGTTAAGTAAAAAATAGTGGGACAAATAAATGAGTTAAACTATCCATATGTACGGGTAATCTTAATTGCAAATAATTTTTGAAAGTAAATCCAAAGAGAATGTTCCAAGCAGAAACACTGGGGAAGAACTGGGTCATTTCCCTATGTGAACTAGAAAGTAGCTCAAAGTGTGAGCTGGAAGGAGCAGTGAACTGTAGTTTAAGCGTCCTCCAGAACATAACATTGTCTATCTCTTCAGCCTTGCATGATAATCTCTTCCACCACCACCAGAGCCATCTGTGATGTTCGGCGTGATAAAGATTCAGAGTGAAACGAAAAAGGTAAAGAGTCATATCACACAGAATATCCCTGAATCTACTGGAGATAACCATTCATAATCAACTTCAAACTCTGGCGTAAAACAAGAGGGGTTTATGTCTTATCAAAGAATATTCTCAGAGTAATAGAAGAGAGCATAAAGAAAAAACCCAAAAGTACATTTATCTCTTGGATCAGCTAAACTGGAACACAGCAAAGATAAATGTTTTCTGGATTATTCTATCATTTCTAAGATGCAGAACAGGAATATAGACATGTAAATAGTCAAGCAGGGATGCAGGTACCTATAAATGAAGAAACTAAGCTAAGGACGGGGTGGGGTTACTGAGTGAGTGTGCTGGGATAGCTAGATGAATGTGGTGGCATTGCTGGGGTAGGGTGTCCTGGGATTGGGAGATGAGTGTGTTGGAATTACTGAGTGAAAGTGATGTCATTGCCGGGTAAGTGTGCTGGGATTACTGGCAGAGTATGCTGAGACTGCTGGTGAATGCGGTGGGGTTGCTGGGTGAGTGTGCTGGGATTGTTGGGTGGGTGTGTTGGGACTGATGGATGGAATGATGGGATTGCTGGGGTGAGTGTTATTGGATTACTGGGGTGATGTGCTAGGATTGCTGAAGATGGGTATATCTGTGATGCATAGTGAGAGAAGAGCCTTGATGCATGAGAGTTGTGAGAGGGCCCAGAAACTGTTGGTATAAATGCTTAATTCACCAGTCTCTCCACAGCCACGTGGCTCTTCAGTTAAATTCAAAACACAGCACGGGACCTATGCAGGTGCCCCTTCCCAGGGAGGGAAAACTGACTCCAGTTTTCGCCAGCCCCTAAACTTCACAGGTAAAGGGCCAGTTTAACAGCTCTTCCTGGAATAAGCCTGTGGAGAGCAGCCGACAAAGCCCCCCAGACACACACAGAAAAGCAAAAACCACGTTGACATTCCTAGAAGAGAGGGGGAGAAGAGCGTTTTCCTGTGTTTGCGTTCTTGAATTGCCTTTTCTTGCTCTTCACTGGAGAGAAGAGAGGGTGGGTGATGGCAGCCAGGCTGGCTCATGTGAGAGACCAGAGGGCAGCTGACATGAACTCCTGTCAAGCCTCCTGGCACAAAGATCTGATTATAATACATAAAAATGCGTGGGCAAGACTTGGAGGGCTGGGCTCCCCCCACACTCACTCCCAACCCCGTGCTTTGAATGCATTTGTGTATGCACACCCTCGACAGACTAGGGTTCTTTGTGTTGCCATGGAGCTGCGCCCGCTGTTAGTTCAGATGGAAGGATCACTGGCTTTTCTACTTCTAATGGAGGTAAGAATCACTGCATAATATTAACTCCACTTATATTTCAGATTTGCAGTTGTCTTCATGTTCTGAACTTATTCCCTGTCAGATTACCACAATGGAAGCTGCTGGCAAACTGATGCTTGTTTTTATTACATCCATATGCCAAAACATGAAAACATATATATATATATGTGTGTGTTTGTGAGCTTCCCCGACCCTCCCTTTTCTAACAGGGAGTGTTTATGACCTTATCATATCTAGGGGAGTTTATGAGAAGTATAAAATATGAATCAATCCATACTTAATAAATATACTGTGAAACACATAAAACATCTCATAAATAATAGCTGTTTTCTCTGACATAATAAAACTAAATATTATTGCACTCTGATAATTACTTTTCAAGTAGGCGTTGAGAATCAAAATCATACCTAGAATAATTTTGCAAATATAGATAGACTTCTTTAAATTCCACTTGGATCACATTTCAAAGCTCAGACATCCACCGTTTGGGAATTAAATGAAAGAATCTTTCAAAAAGGAACACGAAGTGACTTCTAGCACAAACTCAGTACCTATACAGTCCCTCCTTTGGGGATTTTGCATCTCCTAAGAAAATTACAATTTGCATTCTGTAAAAACAAGTGCAAAGGAGTGAAAGAAAATGATTTTGATTTCCTACCTGGAAATCTGCTTCTGGTCCTAGTCACACGTTTTCATAATCTTGATTTTCAATTTCTCAGGTAAATTCACCAATCTGCTGACAAGAAGTTTTGTATTATGACTTCTCCTCCCACAGTGCATACATTAAAATGTGACGATGAAAATGGCCCTAATGTTAACCAGAGCTACAAAACTGAATCTGTCAGTTTGAAATATGAGAGTGTGAGCATGGAGAAGGGCAAGGCAGAACAGGTGGGTAATACATGCTGCCCCAAACTGTAGGTAATACTAGAGCGCTCAGCAAAATAAAATTTAGAAAGTAGTTCATGGGCAACAAAATAAATGGTGGTAGTACTGGATGATAACCCAAAGAATAAATTAAATATACATGAGTCCATATTGAAATCAATCCATCATTCATGTAGATAGTACCTCCCTGAGAGAAATGAAGTACAAGTCTTCTCCCCTTATGAACAGAATACAGAAACAATAAGAGAAAAGTAATAACTTTACAATGGAAAAGCCTGGCAGACTCCACCTTAACCAAGATCTCAAGTTAAGGTCACTGTGATAATAAGGCATGTTGATATGACATTCCTCCAACAAAACACAATGAGAGGAGTACCACCCTTGTGTGGTATTCTGCACCAAAACTCATAACCTTAGTCTACAAAACTTCTGGTCAACACTCAAAAAAATGCCAAGCTGGGTATGGTGGCACATGCTTGTGATCCTAGCAATTCAGGAAGCTGAAGCAGGAAGATTGCAAGTTCAAGGTCAACTTCAGCCAATTAGCCAGGCCCTAAGTAACTTTGTGAGACACCATCTGAAAATAAAAAATAAAATGGGCTGGGGATGTGGCTCAATGGTTAAGGCCCCCTGAATTTAATCCCTACTTTAAAAAAAATTCTAACCCTTATAAAACAAAGGGCTTCTGTCATGGTGCACTCTGTGGTGCCATTACATGTCATATTGCATTTAATATTTTAAAAGTGAGTAGCTAATTAATACTAACTGGACTTCTCATGCAAACCAAATTCTTCAGTTCTGTTAACCAGCCACTCAAATAAACTGGCCTTTTCAGTGGTAATTTTGTTTTGAGAGAAATTTTTCTTTTATTTTGATGCTTCCAGAAGACCTTACAGAAACACCTTCAAATGTTGTACACTTGAGTTTTCTTCTTACCACAAATAGTATGTATATTTTCATAACAAGTGCCTGGTACTGATGATTCTGGCAACTACTTAGGCTCACTCTCACACTATTCCATGGCACCAATAGTACAACACCCTGGACTCTGAGCACCCTGCCCCAGATGCACCATGCTACTTGTGGACAGGCATTCCCCAGTCTCTTGGCTGAGTGACAGCAAGCAACCACAGCAGCCACAAGGCAGGTGGAGAACTAATGAATAAAATGATAAATATTTGTGATGAAACAGGATGTTGAGAAAGAGCGGGGGTGGGAGGGCAGAATATCTCAACTGCTGAACTACTGAAGCTGCTTTGGAATGCCTAACAGTGTCCCTTTGTCAAAATGGGAATGATATACGGATAGATATTTTTTTCTGGTGTTTTCACCTTTATTACAAATAATTTATAGAATTACCACTGTACAACACGACACCATTCCAGACACAGAATTTAAAACTCTGGGCTTACTGAACTTACTGGAGTACTGTTCTCCAACAAATGTAATGAGCCTCCAAAAACACTTCAAACAATGATTTGAAAACAAAATTGTTTTCAGGTCAGAGAGCAGATTTTCAAAAGATCTGCCCTTGCTTGCTGTTGATTGAAGGTAGACTTTAAACCACTATCTCCACTCTCATCTATGTCTCTTAATGACAAGAACATGAATAATCATTTACAGGCTCAAAAGCTTTCTTGTCAAGAATAAATTCAAGGAATTCTGAAATAAACATAATACTTCAGTTTTACAGACTGTCCTCTCAGGGACTTCACTCTTATGGACTCTAGATTCTGTGGGCAAATGACTCAAGTAGTTCCCATCATTCACTCACTGGTTCTGATGGGTGATATCAAGGGTGAATGAAACAAAACCAAAAGGTATAATCAACACTCCAATGATGCTCTTTTCGATTCATTTTTAAAGAAAGCGTTATCACCAAAGATACCTTCTTGAGTTCAAGGTATCCATCTCTCTCCTGTCTCTCTTCTCTCCTACTGATGATTATTTAAACACAACAAAGTAAAAAGAAAAAAAAAAGTCCCAACATTAAAGCATACCTGGATATCAATTTGCTATTTGCAATTAATCTCTGAAGACTTAGTCCATGGAAAGTGTCCCTAAGAGTGATCAGTCATCTAGCTGTAAATTCTAGGGAACAGAGCTAATGCCAGCACTGAGTGACAGAATGAAGAGCAAGGGACCCTGCGCTCACTCACTGCAGACGAGACAGAAATGTGAAACTCTGTATCAATACAAAACTTGAACTTCTAGCAGTTTTCAGATTTACAAACTGAATTTGTCCTCTCTGAAGTTCAAGTAGCATTAGACAGGTCCCTCCAAATTAAAAAGGGGGAAATTATGTAGATGAATTTGAAGACACAATTCTACATTTGCTTTCCACTAGTTACGGTCATCATCCACAAGAATGATCTAGTCATCCCTTTTAGGCACTTCTCTTTAAAAATCATTTCTTGAAAACTTAGTAATTAACATGAGAAAAACAATGCTAGAGAGGAAGGGTTTCAGGGCCACATATATTTTCCTTTATATTAACTATTTCCTTAGAAATCTTGTTGAACAATATCTTTTTAAATCATGCTATGTAACAGAAATCAAGCTCAAAAAGGCAAAATAAAGCCTGTGAGAAAACATGGTAGGTCCAGAATTAGAGATGAATGTGATATTTCATTCCAAACACTATCACACATGTACCATTAATACTTTCCACAGGTGTACTCGGATCTTAATCACAAGTCTGTGTGGACATATGCTCTTTCTGAAAGAAAATAAGGCAACCCAATGGAACTGACCACATGATCAGAGTGAGGGAGAAAATGTTTCCACCAGAGAAAATAACACATGAGAACATAGCTACCTACATAGACATTACAGCATAAAACCATAGTCTATGATACTCTGTGAGAGTAATTTATCATCTTAGTTTTCTTCTATCACAAAATTCATTCTTAGCTTTTCTAAGTATATCAGACATTCAACTGGATATTCCCACACCATGACTTCTCTGTTAAATGACCATGGACAACCTGTGTATCTTGATCCTGGGGTAACAGTGGGCTGATTGATCATGTCTCTTCTAAATTTCATCACTTACTAAAACTAACTTAACTCTATCTTCCTAATAGCTGCTGAGATAATTTTCTTTGCCCATTTATTTTATAATATTCCAATATAACAGTTTATCTTCAAAACCACTTAAGGGAAAACAATCTTCCAAAAACGAATGAGTTACAGTAATCTGGTAGGCCACAAAATAAGATCTCCCAAATGCACCAACATCTACCCATCATAAAACAGTAACTGTTCCACAAGAGAATTCACTGGTGGTAAGATCTCCAAAAACAAAGCAAAACTCAGATTTTTACATGAAATGCAACTGTGAATGAGCCATGGTACATCCATATTCTTTGAGCCACGAATGCAGGCCCAGGTTTTTTAAAAGCTTATTGCAGAATGTGATGTTAAGGACTCTTCATTTTTATCCTTTAAATTGTACCACATCTACTCTAGCTTCAGGAGCCCAGTACACACCACCACATCACATTGTTTGAATACAGGCAGTTCTCAACTTACAAACACCTGACAAAAACCAAAAATAAAACCAGCTGCTGCCATGTCAGGGTTGTCGCCTTCTAACGCCACCAGAGGTCTTGCTGCTACCCCTGGAGAGAATCAGCTGTCGTGAAGAAATCTTAAACTGTTTAGAGAATTTGGGGGCAGAAAGATCACAGCAATAAAAAGCAGGGTGGGAGAGGAAAACCACCCGAAACCAGTGTCCACCTCAAGTAGCGCTACTTAGTAAACTTGAATGAATTCATGAATACCTGAACTCGCCCCTGTAATCTGGACCTCCTTACTTTGCCTCTGTCCTGCTCCAACAGCCTATTAGCTAAGCTCCTTCCGGGGCTCATAATTCATGAACCAAGAGCTAAAGAAGGATCAAAACTCCAGAAGAAACCACCATGATCATCAGTAAGCCATCCACAGGACCACTGACAGAAGAGAGCCCACGCCAGGACCAAGAGAAAAAGTCCACTTGCAAAAGCACAAAAAACTCATGACACAGGGAGACAAGACAAGATACAAAAGGAGAAAGAAGTTGGAAGCTGGTAGCTCTGTTTAGCAGAGTTTTGTTTTTTGTTCTTTGGGGTTTTTTTGTGAAGCTTATTAATAAAAATGCCAAATGAGAAATCAGAGTAAAGAGTGTGACTCAGTGTGACACAGAAGCAGTATATATGGCATCAAGGTGAGGGTAGGCTAGTACCAGTTTGCTAAATTATTCCAATTTCACTTGGATGGCCTTCAAGACTCAGAACCTCTTTAAACACATCTGAAGTCTAGTAACTTCTCACTTTGTCTCACTTTGTATATTACTAATAATTCTTATCTTCTGAAAATTGGAGTCACCTCATTGCTCAAAATTATCTTCCTCAGATCCCTGTTACCAGCTGAATTAGAGAAATCAAAGAAACTCAAATTTGAGTGGGTTTAAAGGCCTTTTAGGTTAACAACCCAATGAAAGAAATACAGCGACTTCACTGTCTCATTCGAGATCCATCACAATGGATCCAGTAGTCCTGGCTGCATATGATGCCAGATCAAATGTATGCACAGTTCCCGTCTCCTGGCTTTCATTCATGGCCACTATGCTGCACGACTGCAGAGGCACCATTTATATCCAGTCCACATGAGTAGTGCCCTCAATAGTCTGGCAATATCCAACTCTCACACAGCCTTATGAGGTGATCCCATTTTCATCTATGACACCATCTCCACCAGGAACGCAATCTCCCAACCCCATCTCTGTTTCCAATGATGGTAACCACGCCTGAAGACCCACGTCTTCCATAAACTCCTTCATGGTTTCTGCAACAGGTCCTCATCTTTTTTTCTGAACTTTCATTGCATTTGGTTTATGCCTCATTTTTCTCCTATTCTGTCTTCTAGTATAATGAGTTAGAATGCTTGAGTCTCATCACTAATACTTGTCTCTAGGTTCCCTGAGAACATAAATGGCATGAGATTCACCTACCTTTCCACAGAGTTCCTAGCCCACTGCCAAAATCAGATCCAGTACTTCAATCATTGGTGGCTGGTATTTATGACTGGGAAGGGAAAGTGATGATTCATGAACTAGAAAAGTTTGAGGGTATAATTTTGACTAAAATAAAATACAGCAATCTGAGAACTAGAGGTAAATTTTAATAACTTCATGCTTTCAGAACCAGTGGGTTGAGAGGACCTGCTCAGTTGTAGGATGTTACTGTCAAATAAATACTCCCCCTCATCTTTTCCTTCCTTCCCTTGAAAAAAAATAAATTCCAAGTTCTGCACAACCAATTAAAAATTGAAAGGAAGTACAAAATAACCAAACCTTTTTACAATTTGATCCATTTTGTATAAAATCAAAAATAATTTTTTTTAGCCAGGCATAGTGGCACACACCCAGGTATTTGGGAGGCAGAGGCAGGATGATCTCTTAAACTCAGGAGTTTGAGGCAAGCCTGAGCAACAAAGCAAGACCCATCCTACAAGAAAAAAATAAAATGAAATCTTTTTCAGTTAATGAAAGTGTACCGAAGGTCAAGTTTAAAAGATCACAAATATAAAACACTTGTAAAGCAGCTAGAGAGATATATTTAGAGGTATCAAAATATGGCTTTCTTTACTCTATAGAGCCCATGTGTCTGCCAGCATATAATATGCATTCTCTTAGTACCCGTGCTAAAATATCTATTTTAATAGATGTTTCATGCTTCAGGGAAACCATTATGATCTATTAGAGGGTAATTAGCTATATAAAATATGATTTTACATTAGCTATATAGAAAGGAGACATCTTCAAATTGATACATATAGATTCCTATCTACCTATATAAGAAATCTATCTGAATATTTTTGAAGACTTTAAAATATATTGTGCATTGGTATGCTGTATATTGGTTGATGAGTCAAAATATTTTAATACATATCACACCCATGGGCATGTATAATCTGAAAAATATATCACGAGCATCTTCAACCATTTAAATATGAAAAAGGTAGGGGGTGAAGAGACTTGTTAAAGAGCAGAGTATCTGAGAATGAACAGTGTACTAAGCATGTCAACTAAGCCTTCACACACAAAAACATTGGAGCTTATATAGATCTAAAATGCAAAAACTGCTTGCCTCTCCTTTTAATCAGAAATGTCTCAGGGTCCTTATCATGAACATAAATGACCAGAGAATCCTATTTATTTGATTCCTTGTTTCAATTCACTAATGTAGGGTTTGAGAACCCTGTGGGGCTTCTCCCATGAGCCAGGCACCACGTGAAACCCTGGATCCAGCATCGGATGGAGTTGGTCTAAGAAAGACAATCAGTCACTACTGTCAACGGGGGTAGCTCTCAGGGATACCTCCAGCAGTTGTTTCCCCCTTCCTTCTTCAGCTTCCCTCGTGGTCTACATTTTTATTCTGCCTTTTAAGATCTCATTTCTGATTTGTATACTTCATGTATTTCCTTTTTCACTTTCAGGATGTCAGCTATTACATTTGCAATCAGTGTGCCATCCTGTACCAGTGGCACTGTTTCTACATGCTTCCCGTATATTGCCCTTTTTCCGGGGATGATTAGTTTAAAACTGAGACTAAAATAAGGACAAACAATCTCTGAGAGGAGGCTGAATAAGTGTTTTCTATCATTGTGGTTTGAGGAGATCATTTTATGCACTATCAATTCCTTCTCTTTGATGTGATAGTTTTAATGTCCAAACAACCCTGGCATACATTTAACAAGATAATTTAAACAAATGTTTTACCCACAAAAGTCCCTCCCTCTTCTACAATCCCTTTTTAAAAGAAATTTTTTTAAAAAAATTATACTTCTTAAAAAGCAATATCCCTACTGCCAGAGAAATCTTCTATATGTTGAGTCCTTAGAAATGGTATCTTAATATATTGACCATTATTTCTCAAAGAGCAGGCCTCAGATTACCTGCATCAGAATTCCCTGGTTTGCTTCATAAAATACAAGGTTCCAGCATCCCATCTCAGTCCTACAGAATCACATTTATAGAGCTTGAGGATCTGATTTAAAAAAAAAAAACACCTTGATAAATAGCTGTAGATGAAACACCTTGACACCACTGATCTTAACAGCCAAACAGGCTTAAAGAAGACCCACATTCTCCACTGAACCATCACAATGCAACATGGACTGAGCACCACTCTTTGCAAACACTGAATAAAATTAAGTTTAAAAAGATCAAGAAAATAAAGTTTAAAGCCTGACTCTTACCAGTGAGTTTGCATTCCAATCAGGAAGATAAAGCACAGGCATATGAAAAGAACATGAAACATTTTGGGACTCCAGGACATGGTGGGCACACACACACTGAGAAGGGCAGAGTCAAAGCGTGAGTAGAATGCAGATAGGACTCAAAATGAAGACTCCCAAAACAAGACTGGGGTCAGAATTTAAAAGGAAAGATTTTTCAAGTGGGTCTTGGAGAGATGTGGCAATTGCCAGAAGACATCTGAAATCAAGGGGAAAATATGTATCATCATAGCTCTTGGTACCACAGTCAACACAAAGAGAAAAGGAAATGTCCTGCAGGATTATAAAAAAGCTGTGATGTTGGTTTGGAAAGACCAACCTGAAAAGAAGTTTTTCCAAATATATATTATTTTGGGGGGCAGATAGGAGATTCTGTAATCCACAGTGTATAGAGGAGGAAACTAAGACTCATCCAAGACCCTCTGCCCTCTGGAGGGCAGAGATGGTTCTTTCTTTCCATCAGGGACTTTTCTTTGTTCAGCCTGATATGTCCCCAGTAGAAGAATCACTAATTTATTACCTGTCCTTCAAAACAGTAAGCCATCCAAAATCATCATATTTCTCCCTCCCTTCATTTCAAGAAGTCAAGAAGAAAGACTTCTTTGTGTGTGTGTGTGTGTCTGTGTGTGTACGTACACAGGTGCATCTGTGTGTGCATGGGCATATAAGCATTTGCATATCTGTGTGTGCATGTACATACACATATGCAGGAGGTGTGGGGGTATCACCATTTCTTAATGACTTACTGCACTTTAGGGTGTGCATAGATGCTCCATTTATGCCAAAATATATTAAAAAGTAAAAGCCAAACAAAGTGTCTATGATTTGGGATCAATACCAGGTTACAGATATGCATGTTTTGTCTGGCTTTGGTAGCCACTAGCCACATGTGACTGTTTAGATTTAACTTTTCAATTAACAGGGAATAAAATTTAACAGTTAGTTGCTCGGTTGCACTAGTCATATTTCTAGTGTTCCCAAATCACATGTGATTAGTGGCTCCCATATTGGCCACCTCTGATACAGGACCTGTCCATCACTGCAGATGGCTAATTGGAAAGCACTGCTCTGGAGTGTCGTTCTTTCTACAAATATGAGAGCAGATCCCAATATATACAACCACTGTTGTTTGTATCTAGTTTTAAGGACATGCTAACTAGAGTGATAAAACTTCTGTTCCTTCCACCCCAAGCCTCCTCGAGACTGTCTAAGATACTCATTTCTTCCTCCCTAACCCCTCCTGCTCATCACACCTCTTCCCATGGTGGTTTTCATCCTGGCTCCATAGATACATATGCTTCCATCTCCTCTACAGTTAACTCCATAAAGACCCACGGGGTCACATTTGAGCACACCTTCCTAACACAATAAACTGAGTTCCCCCAATATGGGCCATAGATCTGATTACTGGGTAGAACGCATTACTAGTGGGAACACCTAGAGAATAAGACCAGTTCTAACAGAAGGGAAGAAGTAAGAAGAGTTGAAAGCATAGTAAGGTGTTGTGATCATTTCTACTGCTCAGGTAGAAATGCTGTTTTTGCTGCACATCTAAAAGGAAAAAATAATAATCAAATTATTTTAAAAGTGTGAATATGTACTTAGCAGACTTCAACTGGAAGAGTACTGAGCTATTATTGCCTGCACTGTTTACCGTCAACAGCCAGCACACAGAGACTGGCCCCTCACCAGTGCAGGTGATCAATCCAGTACTCACAGTGGCTTGCTTAGCTTTATACCAGCTTTTCAAAAAAGGTTTGTCAGCTGGGCATAGGTGGCGCATTCCTGTAATCCCAGTGACTCAGGAGGCTGAGATAGGAGGATCACAGTTTGAAACTAGCCTCAGAAACTTAGCAAGATTATATCTCAAAATAAAAAGTAAAAAGGGGCTGGTGATTTTGCTCAGTGGTTAAGCACTCCTGAGTTCAATCTCCAGTATTTAAAAAAGAAAAAGAAAAAAAAAATGTGTGTGTGTGTGTCAGTTTGATTCACTCATGGATATACAACATCCTCCAACCTCAAGCCTTAGGACCCAAAGGAAAACTTCCACTTTGACTCTGAGAACTACCTCCAGACCACTCAAAAGGTAAGTTTCCTTCATATGATCATTTGGATAGTTTCAAAGTATATGAAATATGAACAATATCTGATTTTAAAAAAAAACAATACTTGAGGGGAAAACCCCATGTATCAAAAACACACTGGATGTCACTATGAAGATGGAAAATATTTAAAAGGAAGAGAAGTAATTAGCCTGCACCTCACCACTTACTGTTTATTCAGCCAAATTTAATGCAGTTTCCCATTCTGCACTAAGCATCTGGGCACTTTCCCACAAGCCTTGGAAGCTAGAGATACCTACAGGGCCACCTTAGACCAGAGGAAAGGGAACTTCACAGGAAATGAAACCCAGCAACACAGTAACAGCACCTCTGATGACAACCAAGAGATTCAAAATAAAGATTAGGGCAAGGCGGGTGGGGGAGCTGAGTGTGGTCTTCAGAAGTGAAACTTAAAAGGGGCTGAAGACACATCATTTTCCACAAGAAAAGTCACCTACCTGCTCTGGCCCCTGCTCACCTTTGCCTCCATCTCTTGGCTCACCATGATGGCCTTTCTCCATTGTTATCTTTTTAGATTAAAAAGAGAGTCCCTGACCTGCCAAATCATCTATTACAAGTTGCACATCTCCACACACCTCTTCCTCCAATAACGTACCCCAAAAGTTCAGACAGGAGCCCTAAAACATTATCAGGCTCTACATACATTAAAAAAAAAACGTCAACTGCAATGTGCTCAGAGTTTGCATCCACAGTACACAGTGGAGGGCAATGGGAAGGACCAGGCTCTGGTGCACCATGGACCCATGTGTAATCTTGGACAAGCTATTTACCTTCTCGGCACCATAGATTTTCTCATCTATCAACCACAGTTACCATATGCCAAAAAATTTAAGTTGTCCACCAAATCTAGAACACATGCATCTTTTCTTTTTTTTTAAAAAAAAATACCTTTATTTATTTATTTATTTATTTATTTATTTATTTATTTATTTATATGTGGTGCTGAGGATCGATTCCAGGGTCTTGCACGTGCTAGGTGAGTGCTCTACTGCTGAGCCACAACCCCAGCACACATGCATCTTTTCATATTTTTGAAACCAGAATGTGTCTATCAATGGCATCTTTCAATTAATTGGAAGTCTTTTATTTCTTTCTTAGAGGTATATCCAGTACCATCTTATAACCTATGGCACCTTAGAGTCCATGAAATATGGAGGAAACTACATCATAAGGTTTTGGTAATGGCTGATTAATTTAGGTAAAGAATTTACCATAGTGGTTATTCCTGAGTAAGCTGCTTATTACTATTAGTTACTATTATTAAATTAACAAGTCTGAAAATGGTCACAGTCATAAGAGAAAATCCTTATAGTTTTACCCATAAGTTGTGTACTGATATGATGATTGATACTTGGGACAGTGGTGCTAGCCTATAGTGCCAACTACCAGAGATAGTAGGGAGGCTGAGGCAGGAGCATCTCCTGGACCCAGGATTTCAAGACCAGCAACTGGGTGACTGGACATAACCCCAGCCCTTGGCACAGTGCCTGATACACAGTAGGGCCTCAGTAAACAACTGCTAACTGAATCCACTGAATGTAGGACCCAACTTCATTCCTGCCACACCCACATCTGATATCCATTCTACGTAATGGGAAACCAGCAGTGCCTGATCCTTTCAAGGTAAATGACATAGAGCAGATTCCTGCTTTTAAAACACTGTGAATACTTCTCCAGTTCAAGTCATTGAGCAGGTTTTCCCCTCCCATAATGCCCTCTCTACCTCATGTTCCATAAATTTAAATCCTGAACCCCACCTACCAAGGCCCAATTCAAATTTCACCTCTAAGAAATGTTCTTCCCATCTTATTCCCATTTGGCATTCTTCCTATTCCCATCCATCACCTTCTCAGCTACCATAAACACCTGATCTGGACCTCTCTGGACAGAATACTGCCTACCTTGTATTAAACTAAGTGTAAGAACCAGAACTCTATCTTGATTGCCCTGCCTTCCCTGGAAGGCTGGACACAAGAGGGAAATCCTCTTGGATTGAATCTGAGTCCTCTTATTATTCACTGAATTGTGTTCCCCATAAAAGATAGATTGGAGTCCTAATCCTACCTCAAAACATGACCTTATTTGGAAACAGGGTCACTCAGATGTAATTAGTTAAGATGATGTAATACTCCAGTGAGATTGGCCCTTACTACAACAAGATTGGTGTCCTTATAAGCAGACAGGGACCCACAGGGAGAATGCCACGTGAAGACAGGGGCAGAGATTAGAGTGATGATGAGCCAAGGGATGCCAAGGATTGCCAGCTGTCACCAGAAGCTAGGAGAGAACCTGGAACAGAGTCTCCCTCACCACTCTCAGAAGGAGCCAACCCTGCCAACACCTTGATCTCAGATTTCGAGCCTCCAGGGCTGAGGCAATAGAGACCTCAGTCACCTAATGTGTGGTGCTTAATCACAGAAGCCACAGCAAACAAACAAATGTCTTCCTCACCTAGCTGCTGTGACACTGGACCCTCTTGACTGCTGTGCTTCTCTAACCCTTTCCTAATCTTCTTGAGGCCTCAATCCCTCCTACCAGGACTTTAAAAGTTAGAGTTGCTCCAGGGTCAGCCCCAAGTCCTTTCCTCTTCTCACCCTCTATGTCTCCCTTTATACCTTTTTGTCTGCCCCAATTCAAACACAACCTGTACACTGCTGGCTCCCAAATTCCTGTTTCAACCTATCCTCTCTTCCAGACTCACATGTTCCAACTCCCTACCTGACACTAGAACACTTGTCCACTCAGATAATTCAAAGCCACTTTTCCAAAGCTTTTTCCAAAAGGTTCTACTACAGCACAATGAATGTACAATAAATATGGAAGGCACTGTAATATAACTAGATTTAAATGCATTTCTTCTAAGATGGTTAATAGTTCTAGTCACTCAAAATTTCAAATCTGATTAGCTGACATAAACTTCTTCCTACTCTTATTCTAATAGTTCAAATATTAGTAAATACAAGTTTATAACAATTTAATATCTGATGTACAGCTGGTTTTATCACTAATTCTTTCTTCTCCAGGATTATTGATCTACTTGATATGTGAAACAGAATATGCTAATAATTTTTTTAAAAAAAGAACCACATCCACAAAATGAAACAGTCAAATATTCTTCAGGGCAGATCTTGATGCAAGGACTGAAAAGGGAACAGTAAGAACCACCTCTGCAGAAACAAGATGTATGAGTGACTTTCAGGTAAAACTTACACACTGCACAGACACTAATGACTCTACATGCTTGTGAATTCCAAAATTACCAGGTTTTATTCACATGAACCGTGAAGACAGAGAATGGAATACATCTTTTCTAAATGAGGAGAACATGCTAATATTCCGCTATTTATTTCATTAAGAATCCTAGATAGGGCTGGGGATGTGGCTCAAGCGGTAGCGCGCTCGCCTGGCATGCATGCGGCCCGGGTTCGATCCTCAGCACCACATACAAACAAAGATGTTGTGTCCGCCAAGAACTAAAAAATAAATATTAAAATTCTCTCTCTCTCTCTCTCTCAAAAAAAAAAGAATCCTAGATAACCTTTATGACTTTCCATTCATTCTAGGGGGAAGACCAAAATCATATGTAAGGTTTCTAAAGCCCTGCATGGTTCCCAGCTTCACCTCCCACTTCACAGGATATTTGCCCCCAAAAGTTGCCTCAAACCTTGGAACAAGGAATTCCAAAGCTAAGGATCACCCCTAAATATCATATCCATGTATCAGATGAACGAATTCTATTTCTCATGTAGTTTCACATACTCTTTCCAACCCAAAAAAATAAAAATAAATTAAAAAGTTTTCTAATTTTAACAAGAACAATGTTAGTAATGAAATGAAACAACCCTCAGGATCCCTACTTCCCTTCTCGATACCTGTTTCCTTCAACCTCCTCCTCTTTACCTTCCTGTTTATTCTCATGATTAAACAATCCCAGTGTTAAAACCACAACAGCACACAGAATCTTTTCGGATGAGGACGCCGCTTCCTGCTAGCTGCTTCTTCCAGCCTTATATCCTACTGCGTCCCTCATCTTTGGATTTAGTTTTGAATACAGCTGCTGAGACAGACCACATCCACAGACCCAGGGCCTCCCCACCACAGCACTGAGACGCTCTGCAGTGGCTTTTCAACTCTGCAGGCCTGGGGTTCTTTCAGAATTGTCCCAGAGGCTCGTGCCCCCATGAGGTCATGCCCAGCTGACCTCTTCAGAAAGTGATACCCTGGAGCGCAGCTGTAAAAATAGAGCACTGACAACTTCTTATTCACCAATACACAACAGAATGTTCTCTGGATTCTAGGGAACTGACACATTCATACAATTACATAAACACAAGGTGGAATAAAAGAATAAAAGAGCCTGAAGCTATAGAAATGTATTTTTCTCATGCCCAACCTATGTGAGAGCAAACTGACCACTTAACATCATTTAGAAAACAGAGATGGCATAAAAGCTATTCAACTAAGACAGCCTGGAATCTCAGATTAAGTTATTTCTGTAATAATTTTTTTAATATAAACACTTATATTAAACTCCTTCATGCATTTCTTCATAGTATATAATTCCCCACATATTACCTTTCTTTTAAGTCATACAATTTATTTTATGTTTAAAGCACCTTCTTAATGGTGATTGAAATGTCTCTATCAGTTCAAAGCTTACCCATATGTCCCATTACTCTATCCAGTTCAAAGACGCTTTCATTCACTCACAAGGACTTTCTTAATTCCGGTATATTTTCAAAACCCTCTCATCCCAGCAGCTCAGGAGACAAAGCCAGCCTCAGCAACAGCAAGGCACTAAGCAACTCCGTGAGACCCTGTCTCTAAATAAAATACAAAATAAGGCTGGGGATGCGACTCAGTGGTCAAGTGCCCCCTAGTTCAATCCCTGATTCCAACCCCCAGAAAAAAAATTCTCAAAAATCATAAAGATCTCTGAAGCAAGCCACTTCCAACTCTCTCTCTTCTTCCCCGACCCCGCCAAGTATTAAGGATTAAACCCAAGTCCTCACACGTGCTAGGCAAGAGCTCTACCACTGAGCTGTGTCCCCAGCCCTTTATATTTTTATTTTGAGATGGGGTCTTGCTAGATTGCCCAGATTAGCCTTAAACTTGCAAGCCTTCTGCCCAAGATTCCTGAGTAGCTGGGAGTATGTACCAATTTATCCAGCTTCAACTTCCTTTATTTTGGACAAGACAAAATTGAAATAAAGGGGGAAAAAGAAAAATTAGAGAACAGAACTGTTAAATGCCCTTTCTTCTGTTCTCTTCCTTATCTAAGTGGTTTTCTTTACCAATTTCAGCGCTTTATATTTTAATATTTGATTCATAATTGTACTTTAAAGAATTAATCCTCCTGAATCCTCACAGAATAGGATAGGAATGCACCTTAATAGCTTAAGTTCAATAAGCAACACTCTATAAGTATCTTCTGTACAAATCTAGATTCACAGTAGTCTCATCTACAGGCCTTTCTTTAGTGTTTTTTTTTTTTTCCTAGAATCACATTGTTCTTCATGAAACACATCATAAAAGCAGTTTATGATAGAGACTGTTCATGAGCATTCTACTCAAAGGTTCATTTTGATAAATATTCTCATTTGACTTCTGCAAATAAATTCCATATTCAAACGTATTAACTTTTAGGAAATAAAATGTAATAAACATGAAGTAGTCAACACTAGTAAAGTAGCATTCTAAAGTATTGGTAACTACACATTAATTCATTTAAAAAAAAAAAAGATACCCTAACACAGATCTCACTGTTCCTTACACATTTATTGTGGCTATTCCCAAGTCATGTTAATAAACTGTAAGTAATTCTATATCAAATCTACACTAACATTAAACAGCAAAGAATCTAATCCTCAAAAGGAGGCA